AGATAGATAGATAGATAGATAGAGAGAGAGAGAGAGAGAGAGAGAGAGAGAGAGAGAGAGAGAGAGAGAGAGAGAGAGAGAGAGAGAGAGAGAGAGAGAGAGAGAGAGAGAGATGGAAATACTACTAACAATCGACAGCTGGACTGTTTAGGAATTACACATTACTAGTGTCACTGTAGTTCCCATTCCACTGGCATTTTACACTCACGAGTTTGCGTCTGTCGCGAACTCAATCTCTACTTTATCCACATTATCCAGCTCTCATTGACTGATAATGGCAATAAAGTTCAGATTACTGCATGGCACAGGTCAAATAAGGGCAGAATGTCGATGGATACGGACGGTATCTGTTATGAAAAAGAACGATAGAATATGACGTTAACTGACCCTCAAGATGATGTAAAATGCAAAGCTGTCGAGACAAATGATTGATAGTTTAGTGGGGATCAAGGAGGGAAGGGGAAGGGAAGGAGGGAGAAGGAAAGGAAGATAAGGAGGGAGGGAGAGAACGGGTAATGGAAGGAGAGAGGGAGGGAAGGAAGGGGGAAAGGAGGGAGGAGGAAGGAAGGGGGGAGGAGGGGGGAAAGAAAGGTAGAGAAAGGGAAGGAAGGAGAGGAAGAACAAAGGGAGGAAGGAAAGGTAGAGAAGGTGAAACAAATAAATGAAATTGGGGGTACAGGGAAGGAAGGAAGTAAAGTTAAAGTTAGAAAATGAAGGAGAGGAAGTAGTAAAGGTGGAATCTAAGGTGGGGACTAAGAGGGGGATGCAGATTATTATAATTATCATTATTATTCTTGTGAATAAACCCCCCCCCCACACACACACAAACACAAAAAAAAGAAAAGAAAAAAAAGAGAGACCACAAGAATTTTCTCTTTTAATATCCCATATAACTTCACCGAAAGTTACAATATCGCCGTCGATGCCACCACCATCCCTTATAATCATTACCATTTTTGTTATCGCTGACTCAATAGTATGGATTCCCGGTAATACGTACCCATCGATGACTTATGAAGCCTCACGCTTTTCTGTTCCGATAAAAGAACGAAAAAAAATTACATATGACGTAACGGGGCAATTAAACACGAATCCAAGAGGAATATTATATGAGAACCTTCCGCCCAGTGAACGATAATGTACCCACTTCAGATTTCCGGAGAGGAAGAAAAACAAATCTAGGTCATTGCAAGATTATGAGAATTAAGGGAGAAAAGAAATGAAACATCTTGTTGTTTTTTTCATCATCGATTTATTAAATGCCATAACTACAGTTTCCCGTGTCGGAGTAATGTTACATTGCCGAGATAACTGTATTTTCTAATAATCAATGAACTAAAAGTTAGAAACAATGGATTCTATTGTTTGTACTTTGTAACAAAATAGTATTAGGTTGCCGGAGCGAGCTGGCCAAGAGGAAGCTAAAGATACCTTTCAAAATAGAGTTGCTATAGGACAAAATATAGCAATTTGAAAAGAAATAGAACTCGTATGTTATGTACAAAAAATCCACACATAGACTCTGCCCTCCTGGTATATATCATTTGTCATTAATTCTATGTTGCAAGGAGTTCGCCAATCTTACCTGCAGTTGCCGGGACACCAAATCTAGCAAGAAATAAAAACAATGGATCATCTGTTTTATTTTTTTTTTTTTCATTAAAATCAAACCATTGCATTCCCTTTGTTTTACGACCAAGTGCAACAAAACACTCAAAAATGTTGCCAAGACATAAGTATACATTAAAACATGAAAATGAAAATAGATAATTAGCAGAAAATAGATACTTTCTATAGAGGTTCAATCAGTATGGGGCAGAGGAAACCAAAGATCTATTATTTCATTTTATTTCATTAGTTATAGTTTTTTTTATATAACAAACACTTAAGGTCACATTATAACGGCCTAAAGAAAGGCCATTTTACCCTATCAAGAACTGTACATAATTACAAAAATAGCCTCTAACTGCACTTCTGAGAGTGCGTTGAAATGCCGCTCTAGTATTTTTTTATTCTTATATATTTTTTTAGTTTTATTTCCCTACGGTTTTAAATACTTTAAATGCTTTAGTATATGATCATATATATAGATATAAAATTACACAATCTCTCAACACAAGTATTAGCCTAATGACATGATCAAAAGTAAAAATCCTACATATTTTCACTTTTTCACTGTTCCAGGTTTACGTAAACAAACCGAAAATTCTTAAATCTCAAAAACTGACGTAATTTTTTCCTATGATCTTGTCTTTACACAATTTTTATTGCTGTATTTATAAAAAAGAAAAGAAAAGAAAAAAAAAAATCACGTATATAACTTCATATTAATCACCTATTTTTTTTCTTAGGGATTACATTGAGCATTCGCATAAATATTCAATAATCTTCCAAATCATTTTTAATTATCTTTTATTCGTATGAGTGAAATGATAAGGCTTGGATTTCACAGCAAATCAGTTTTCATCTTCGACTTAGATTTCGTTAGACAGAAATCATGAGAAATAAAAAAATATTCGTGGCCTAATTCTTCTAAAAAATGAACACGATGTGGCACTAATATTTCGTCTTCATTTCAGATAACATTGATAATGAAAATGATCATAATAATTGTAATAACAGATAATGATCACAATAATAGTGGTAGAAATAATGATAAAAATAGTAATAATGATGATCTTGGTGATAGTAATAACATTAATGATAATGATATTATTATTGTTATCATTATTATTATTACTGTT